TAGCGTTGTTGGATACAGCCGACGACGGACGACTGGATGGAAACTTTTCTCTGAATGGCGAGGTTGCACGAACCATACTCGGAGTGTTGTCGGATAGGCCATTTACCGGAGAAGGCGGCTCGCGTTGAACTGGTGATAGAGTGGAAGAGGTAGTGAAAGTGTTTCCGGATGGCTTGATAACCAACCCGGGATTAATTGAACGGCGTTTGTCCCGAGTGGATGTGACTTGGAGACCGCCATTGGTAGGAGCAGGAATAGAGAGCGAAGAGTTTTCGGGAGTAATAGATGGAGAAGGCTCTTCTAGAGCAACGGGAAGAGAGTAGTTCTTAGACGGAGTAGGGCGTTGACTACTGTCCACAGAGGAGGTCCGAGGAGGTGGGTGGAACACTGACGATGGTTTGTTCCGAGAAGAATCAAGAAAAGCGTCGTTTGAATGAGGGACACGAGGAGATGGATGTCCATTGGCAGCAAATTCTGTGCTTCGGGAAGACTGAATGGTCTGTGATATAGCGTTTTCCTTCCCAAGCATTTCCATCTTTCGGCGCTCTCTGTCACGATGGCTGGTAGGAATGCTCCCGCCCTTATTGGCTCCGCCAATGCCAAGTTCATTATACGCTGCTGCTCGCGTAGCCTGCATTTCCCGCTCGCGTTCGGCCTTCTTCTGTGTATGCTTCCTAATCTTTATCATGCGTTGGTTATGACAGTCCATGCAATATATGCCCTGACTAGTCTTGGCGAAGACCAGTTCGTCAATCCGGTTCTTGCAGACTTTGCATTTGAAGCAATGAGCGTGGTATGCATCGTCACCGGTCATGATAGCTTCGTCAAGGATGGGCTGTTTGCAGACATTGCAAGCGTAAGAGCAGTTGGCACAGATTGGAGAGCCATCGGAAAGTAGAAGTAGATTGGTATCTGCAGTGACTTTATCGCTGCATTTGGCGCATTTGAAGCAGTTTACGTGGAAGAAACATTGACTGGAATTCAACTTGTCAGATAGCGAGTGTAATTTGGAGCAAAAGAGCGCACCCGAAAGCGACGACCAGCCCGCCTTCCTCTGAAACGACGGAGAGTTTACATCCAGGACAGAGCCTTTCTTCAAGATCATCAGGCATGGGATACTGTGATTGCTGGGAGACTGGGGGGTTCATGGCGGCAATCATAGCGGTATACCAGAGAAGTCGGCCGCAGAAAGCGGAGAAAGACAGAAGATTGGCTCAGCCCGAAGGAGAAAGATGAAGAGAGGAAGGAATAGAAACTAGTAAGGAACGTCTGTTGGGCCAACACCAAAATTTGAATTGGAGGGTGTACAACCTTGGAATTCCCACGTTCAGTCCATATCAACAGCCCCTAGATTCGGTTTCTCTTCATGTCACTCATCACCATCTCTGGTTATCCAGCTTCTGGTAAAAGCTCTAGAGCAAGAGAGCTTCATGCCTTTCTCCAACAAAAGGCTGGTGATTCAAAACAAGTCATCTTACTCTCAGAAAATTCCCATTCGCTCGATATCAAGCGATCAGCATACGATAACTCTGCTGCTGAAAAACAAGCCCGCGGCGCCCTCTTGACTACAATAATACGCCTCATCTCCCCAAATACCATACTTATAGTCGACGCGCCGAACTACATCAAAGGTTTCAGATACCAGATTTACTGCGCCGCCAGAGAAGTAAAAGTCAGAGTCGCAACAGTGAGTCTTTCCTTCTCAGACTGTATCAGAGTCGAACTCGAGAGCGGTACCGAACTTTGGACATGGCGCCTGGCCTTCCTTTTTCTCGAGACGACGCTGTGTAAATTCTCGACAAAACGTTATTATTCATTTGGGTTCAACGAAGGGTGACACTCCTCATCAAATAGGTACCATTATTGATTAAACCCTTCGTTGAATTCTCGGAACGTTGGACCGAGAGGCTATTCTCAGTCCCTACATCTCGTTCTATGCTCTGTCTTCTACTGTCTCCGGATAGACCTTGATCGTTGTTGGAAACGGAGTTGAAAGTGTTCCGTTAACGTTGGCCTCGTGTCCTGGCGATATCTTGCTCATCCCAACCCTTTCAAAGCCTATACTGATTTGGTTTGTCAAGTAGGTATACGTCCTCACACCACCAGATCAATGTCGAGAATGGAACAAACTTCGGGAAGGGGATGACAGATATGCCGATGAAACATTGGAAAATCTATTTATTCGTTATGAAGAACCCTCTTCAATGGTTCGATGGGACTCACCGCTCTTCACTTTGCTATGGTCCGACGAATCAATATTACAAAACGTTCTTGATTCTATATGGGATGCTGTCGAAAAGGGGAAAGTCAGTAATCCCAATTCAGGAACGGTCGCGGTCAGTTTCTACCCTCGTTTGCATCGTGCCCTACTAATCAGCGTAGGATCTCGTTCAAAACAGACCGCAAAAGCTCCGTCAGATGCTCTAGCAACATTAGAAAAAACCACTTTGTCAATGATGCAGCAAATTATGTCGGCACAGGATGGATCTGGGGGTGTGGTGCCACTGTTCCCAGCGCCAGGTTATTCTCTAAAGCTGTCGCTACCAACACGGAATGTTTCGCTCCCGGAACTTTCGCGGTTGAAGCGTCAGTTCGTCACTGCTCAGAAGAAGGTGATCACTTTGGGTACTATTGAGCGCGGGAGCGTCGATTGGAGTGAAAAAGGTGTAGGTGAAAGGTTTGTTGCGTTTCTGGAAGAACAGCTTCAACGATAGAAGCATGTATGATGATACCCGCGAGTAGATTGATTAAACACACCAGATGATCTGTGAAGATACCATTGCTCATAGCTATTGAGGGCCCAGCTCGTGAACTGCTATTCCAACAAAAAAGTCAAATTGATAACGAAAGGACAGCGTCATGTTACAGACGCTCAAGAGATGCTGCAATCTAAGCATGATTCACCGATAAATATGTAGTAAGAGGATACTAGGATGCTATCAAGCGTAGTCGGTTAAGCATCATTGTAAGCTGGAGGTGCATTCTGTGAAGTGAGATCATCGATCCTCCGGCGTAGTTCATTAATTTGAGCCTGTGTAGGGCTCCTAATATGATCGTCTTCAGATACAACACTCTCAGCCGAGACCGTGCTTTCTGGAGCAGAGGAAGCCGGCAGACTGGACGCAGTGGAGCCTTCGTACCGCAAAGGATGTAAGCGAGGGTACGACGACGACCATGTTTGGCTGTATGATAGGGTTCTCATTTTGTCGCTGACGGGCGAAGTTGAGCTCTGATTCGATGTATCAAATTGAACATCAGAAACTCCTGCAGGAACAAAAATCCATGTTAGTTGTGGAATAGCTGAATATCAAGGACGGGCTTACCATTTTGCACTTGTCGCGTATCAATTGATTCATGTGGTCTAGGGGAGTCGAGGACAGGTGCTAGCTTCAATGAACGCCGTCTGCGCATTAGAAGCACTGCTAGGACAACTAGCAGTACAAGGCCCAGTATACCACCTACTACCCCACCAACAATAGCGCCAGTATCTGAATGATGAGAGCTGTCATTCCCTTCCGTGCTGACTGCTGTCGGACTGGGGGTAGGCAGCGCAGAGCTGGCAGTGCCATCCGTGTCGGTAAAGTTTGGCTTGCTTGCAAGTGTTTGGAAGGAAGGAGTGTAAGTAAGATAATCAAAGACGAATGTCTGATTCCCCACAGCTCCAGTTACATTCACAAGCAGAGTATGATTGCCTGTTGTAACATTCGAAGCGAAAAAGCGCTGATTCGGAGTTTCCGGATGGGAAGGTGAAGAGCCTGGTGGTATGCTAAGGACTGAGGTCGTTGTCTTATTGTCCAGGGTGAAGTCAAGAGTAATGCTTCCAGTTCCAGTCCCTTCAAAGACTCCAAAGACCGAAATGCTACTGCCTTCAAACGCAGACGAGATATCATTCGTGAGAAGCATTAGGCGCTGAAATCAGAACACATACCAGAGAATTGGAATTGGAAGGAATCCCCAACCGAATTTGTGCGATGCGTGGAGTTCCCTAGCGGTGGCCCATTCGCCCAGCCTCCATTCACGATCAACGAAACGTCGCTCGTACTCCAACCATCGCCTTGATAGTTGATCTCGGTGTTAGGATCATCCACAATGATCGTCGTGGTGTCACCCAGAGGCGTGGTTTGACCAACGGTAACAATAGCATAGTCTAAATCCACGACAAGGCTTGACAGGTTGACTGTGTGCAGCCCATCACTCAGAAGAGGCGATTCATACCATTGAGTGTAGTATTGTGTAGGACCAGCATCTGGAAAGGTACAGTTGACTTGGGCATTGGAGTCGACAGAAGCAAGGAACCACGTCGGGGAATTTGTGCTGGATGGAGTTGAACCTGTGAATGCAATAGAGGTCCCTGCACATTTTTCATGAGGTTACTTTGCATCAGTGCGCGAGTTTGAGGTTGGGAGCTACCTTGAAAAGTGACTACCACCTGTCCTCCTGGTGATCCAATGTACGTAGAGGAATTACCGAGCCAACGACCTGTGGAGTCTACGGCCTTGGTCCATATTGCATTCAAGTTGGAATCGATGAATGACGAAGCGATTTGGGTGTCATCTAGCAGCAGCCAAACGTCCGTGGACTTCATGGTATGAGAGCACACCTACAAGAATGTTCGAACGAAGAGAGAGAATCGAAAGGAGGGAAGGCTCTAGTCAGGTTGTGAAGCTACTGAGCCAGGGCCTCTGGCCGCCCATACGGGCAGTCGATAGGAAATCCGGGATAATCAGTTCAAAGAATGAATTGTACACAAGAGAAACCTTTCACATCGCCCGTCGTCCTCGGAGTTTCCTGGGAGACTGGGAGGCTCTTTGAATTCTTCGGTCACATACGGACTTGGACGACTGATTAGCGCGGACACAAACGAGTAGCTCATGGACTTGGGGGGAGAGAAATAGGAAGCCTGAGCACTGAGCAGGGTGCACGACGAACGGTAAGGTTCGAACCTGGGGGACATTGACAAAGATCGAAATTCGGAAAATGAAGAAAACGTTGAAAAACGATACACCGTTCGGGAATCGAACCCGAGCCGCTTGCTATCACCCTTGCGTCTTTAAGTGGTATGGAAGGCAAGCATGATAACCACTTCACCAACGGTCTTTCATAAAGCGGATTATGTAACGGTATAGGTTCAACCAGCGCTTGGCTTTGTATTTCCCACGCAATTTTTTTAACATCACTCCATGATCAACACTCCTGAAGGTTCCTTTGAACCTTCGTCCTTGGGCATTCATGCAGATTTGTGCGTGGACCTTGGTATCTGGCAAATGCACTAGAATCCACTTCACTCCTGTCGAATACGAATCGGAATTCTCCATCAAAATCCCTGCTCACTCTCTTAACATTGTAACATGTTACATCCATGCACCACACAGCATTTCGCGACATTCCACCAATCCCAATCCGGATATGTGTTTGGCGCAGGCAAGTTCAGACCGCTGACATTCCTCAACAGCGCTCCCGCCACCCTAGGCCACCCTCTGTGTTAACCCGTAGCATCAAAATCTTTATCACAGTGCTATCAGAATGATGCTGTACATCTCAGCTTGCCAGACGCGTTTATCCCGCGCTCGAGTCATACAGTGTCCGTGCAACATATCCGTGCACCTATTTTTGCAAACCAGGATCCTTCGAACGAAATGACAAAGCTGCTGTCTAACGCGTAGTCATCTCAGTTTGTCATGCTGGTTCTTTCAATATACTCAGCGTACCATGTAAACAACTTTTCGCACAACAATCTTGGGGCAATCAAGTGTGTTTTGACCTGTACAGCAAGAAACAGACTTGACGTTTCAGTGTTACAGATCACAGCTATAACAACCTAATCCAGCAATGTCCGGAAAACAAGGTGTGTAATCCGAGCCAATATGCTTACGATTTTGAATAAGTGTAAGTTGTAACCCCCCTATCACAACAGCCTCTGCTGACTATGTCTCCAAAGGGAAATCGCAAAAGATTACATACCACAAACATGTATACACCCCAATGCTGTACTCTCTAAGTGTTTAACGAGCTGAGACAGGACCCCGGCAGCCCACCAAAATCCCTGTTCGCGTTCGGGTAAAAATGGGGGGTTTCTTGAGACAAAGTCAGCGCCCAGTTCGGGTAAAAATGGCCCAAAATTTTTGAAATCTCCGCGCCTAAATTCGGGTAAAAATGAGGGTTTTGGAGTGCTCTGACTGTATGTTCGTGTAAAAATGGTGCTAGGCCGAAGATTCGATCCGTGCACCCTATGTCCCAGGCAGAGCAATAGTAGTCACTATAACCTCTTCACAATACCAGTAATGTTCTAGTTCACTTTTGTAGGAATATGAGCACATCTCATAGATATTGTGCTCCTATCCTCACTATATCATTGTTCGTGCTCATTTTTCGAAATTTTCTCTGTCTGGGACCAAAATTCGGGTAAAAATGGGGTCTCTTGCGACCCCTGGGTCAAATTCGGGTAAAAATGGCGATTTTGAGCTGATTTTTCGTTCGGGTAAAAATGACCATCTGAGGGCGCAAACATTTTGGTGGGCTGCCGGGGGTCCTGCTGAGACGCGAGCGCTCTCTGGCCGTACACATACGTCGCACCGCTTCCGATAATCTGACTCTTGCTTTGTCTGCATGATTCAGACCAAGGTTTGTTATCCGCATTAGAAATTCCTGTTATAAAGGACGAGATTATCGCTGACTCCTTATCAGAATACCTTCCTATCAGTGCATCTTCAGTCTCGAGATGCCTCTCCTATCCAACGACCAAGCCAGCCTCAAGACACACCTATCTATCCTCCGGGATAGTAGCGAACGCTACGCGAACACCGCGGCGTTTAAGATTCCCTCTGTGGAATCTTCTTCCAACGGCATCCTTCGATGGGACACGATCACATACAAGCAATTCCATAGTGATGTGGAACTATGCGCTCGATTTTGGGCGCGTCAGTTGAATATCGTAGGCAACGTTCCGCCCAAGTCGGTGGTGGGACTCTGGATTGGAGGTTACACATATTCCGACGTCCTCCAAATCTATGGTATTTCCAAAGCAGGCTACATACCGCAGCTCTTCAGTCTCCGTCTACCCAACCCCACTGTCATATACGAACTCCTCCAGAAAGCGGGTGCCAAGGCGCTTGTTTGCGATGATGGAATGTTGAATATCATCGGTGACCGCACGAAAGACTCCCCTGTTCCGATATTTACGACTCAGCCCTTCTCCGATGTTGCGCTTTTGGCTGAAAGCCTAGTCGACGCCGTCGCCGACTCGTACCTCATTTCGGAGAACGACCCCGTTGACCCTTCTGAATGTGCGTTTGTGTTTCATACTAGTGGATCGACATCCGGAAGCCCGAAGTTAGTTCCTTGTAACTACCGCTGGCTCGATGCAGTAGCTCGTAAAGCCAGTCAGTTGTGTGTACCCATAGGTTCAAACGGCCAAGATGTTAGTACTTGGATGTAAGTAATTCAATCATCTAACCGATTGATAACCGTAACTGACTATCCCATATAGTGGAAGTATGTGCCATATCGGTCAGACAACTATGCTGCTCTGTTTGATGCAGTACGGTACCTGTATCGTCCAGCCACACCGTTTCCCGTTTTCCCCAGACGAACTTTCCGCCATGGTGGAACAATGTAATGTGAACCGTCTATGGCAGTTCTCCGCATTCTTTTCAGCACACCTTCGAGCAGCACGGAAAGACCCAGAATTTCTCCGAGTACTCGCCAGTCTCGACGAGGTCTCCACCTGTGGGATGGCGCTGCCCAAGGACGACCAAGACTTTGCGTACAACTCTGGAATCAATCTTCAGGAAATCTTTGGAAGTACAGAATTGGGCGGCTCTACTATGATATCAATAGGAGGGAAGGACGCTAGTACTCGCAGGCATCTACGCCCACTAAATGGGCTTGCATACGAATTCCGTCCCGTCCGTACCGCTGCTGGAAACGAATACCCCGACTTGGAAAATGCCGGATACCTTTCCACAAACCGTCTACTCGAATTTGTGGTTCTCCCGGAGTCTGGTGACTGCCCGGATGTCTCGTTGAGAAATCCGGAAGATGGTGTCTTCCACACCGGTGACCTGTTCATCGAGGTCGGACCTGGCAGGTATATCTTCGCGGGAAGGGACGACGATTGGATTAAAACTGAGAACAGTCTGAGATGTGATACCAAGTAAGTATTACTCTCTGTTGTATTCATGCACGAGTATGCTAATATGACAATGTAGATCTATCGAAGACAACGCTCGACTCGTGTGCGGGCCCCTCATCTCAGAATGTATCGTCGTAGGCACAGGACGTCCATCCCCTGTTCTTTTCGTGGAAAGCTCAGCTGTAACAGTCGAGGAAAAGACCAAACTCAGGAAGGACATATGGAGAAAAATCCGACTATTCCATTCACGGAGATTCATGCACGAGCGTATCACCTCTGCCGAGATGATCGTTATCGTTCCCCTTGGTTCGTTACCTCGCACAGCGTCCAAGGGCAGTATCCGAAGAAAGGCTGTGGAAGACGAGTATAAAGCACAGCTCGACAAACTACATGGCGTCGCGAACATGTAACAATGATGTACACGACATTGACATTGGACAAAGGATTGATATCACATTGTTTTATTCTCGTTTTCAGGTTGATTTTTGCATTTTTGGACTGTATCATTTCATTTCAAGTGGCTATCGCCCTTGCCACTCACATAGTGCCTGTATTAGTACTCTGGAAACTTGGAACTCTCTGTATGCGTGTATTTATTCGAATCATTCGGTTCACTCTACTGTATCGTGTTTCGGTTTGCTCCTTATTCTTTTATTCATTGCATCGAATCGAATCGAACTCGAATGTTGTTTGCAGAAGAATGGAAACGGATAGTGGCGTTGCTGTGGTTGGATAATAATTAATAATCAATCATATGCTCGCAGAAACTCCAACTTGTACTGTAATGCTGTTAGAAGAAGGTAGCTGGTAGTTGTAGAATGCCACAGTGCAATGGAAGACGAGTATGTAGTAGTACTCTTGATGAAGTAGAATATGAATTAGCTGAAATCATCCCAGTGTATGCAGTCCTATATCCCGGTTCAACGGTTCATGCTGTGTCCCGTCCATCTGAATCACCTCCGTCGTTTGGATTATTGGCAATAGCAGATCGACTGTTATCCTCAGTCCCTTCGATAATATCAACCTCCGTTGGCATCAACACACCTCTCGGTCCTTTTCTCGCTACAGCCCATACGAACACACCTAACACAACCAAGAGTTGAAGCCACAGCCAAGCTTCAACAATAAGCGAGCGTATACGTTGTACACTGGATGATGATGTTGTTGCGAGAACAGGCCGGACCGTCACTGCTCCTACTGGTATCTGAGAACAGGACGGACGAGGCGAATGAGAGGAATGACGAGAGGGTTGTCGGGATATTGTACTATTCTGTGAACCGGTGCTTGAACTTGTCCTAGTATCATCGTCCCCCGGCTACCAAAGGCAGATCCCAAGCCTTCACTTAACCTGGCGCCAATCTCTTCACGTATCCCGCCGTGACCTTGGTTGGAAGCCCTATCAATGGGTTTATCTTGCCCAGGCTGCTCTTTGGCACTGCCCCCTCGAGCAACTTGAAATATATCACTCAACCTAGGACCCCATCTCCCGGCTCGAGCTTTGACACTTTGAGAGAGTGATATGCGTCGGGCTCGAACGGACTCGGGATCAGCTTTGAGCTTGGATTTCGATTTAGATTCTGAAGGAGATTGAGGGACGGAAGCTGTAGCTGTGGTCTGAATACCACGTTCGGAATTGACATAGAACGAAGACGTGCGGGATGAAAAGAGAGAGGAAGCATGCGAATGAAGAGCGTTCTTATGTTCGGGCGTGGGTGGGATGATACGTATACTGGCATTGGATGCCGGATATGCAGAATGGTATTTCTGAGTGTCTTCGCTGTCTTCCTCCGAACCAAAATGACCTGAATCCCTGGGAAATCCCTGATCTTCCAAAGGAGAAGAAGCATCACGTTGAGAAGGTGCAGAATTAACGCGATATTCTTCAACTTCTTGCATGAGAGAATTGTTCCTGCTTCGCAAATACGAGAAACCAGAGAGAGGATAGTTATCCGCGTCGTCCAAATCA